AAGTGATACTCATTGCTTCCACTCACTTCCTTTGGTGAGTCACATGACCCAATCTATATGCAAGGGGCTGGGAATATAGTTCCTGGCTGGGCATTTGCTGCCCAGCTGCGACTCTATACCAGTGGATGAGACTTTTTGGTGGACAGTTAACTGTCTCTTTCACAGGAGGCCACAAGGTTTTATTGCTGAGGTTTTCACTGCTTTGCTCTGTGAGGCCTTTTTTGTGCCTGTGTTTGACGAATAGTTGTTTTCATGGCTGCCAAGAGCTATTGAGTCAGAATGTAACTGCAGACATCCATTTCCTTGCTGTGTTTGTCTGACAACTCACTGCCTCACAGCTGGGAAACTCATTACTCAAGGGTACTTCTTTCCCAGGTACAAGAACATAAAGATGTATTTATTGAACTCTTTTCAGAGCAATGGTGGTGAGCTATTAATCAAAAACTATACTCAAATATTAAGTGTAAATACTAGAGAAAATGCAAATATTAAAGACAATCTAAAAATACTTACCGGTCAAATATTTATTTTATTTATTCATTCACTTTTTAATGGAAACATAATTCACATCACATAAATTTTAACACAATGTAACATAAAAAGTCTCAGTTTTAAAATGTACAATTCAGTGGTTTTAGTATAGTCACAAAGTTGTGCAACCATCACCACTATCCAATTCCAGAATATTTCCATCATTCCAAAAAGAAACCCTGTACCTGTTAGAAGTCATTCCCAATTCCTGCCCTTCCCCCCAACCCCCAGCCCCCCAGTGCCTGGCAACCACTGATCTACTTTCTGTCTCTAATTCTGGACATTTCATATAAATAGATTCATATGATATGTGGCCTTTTTTGTTAATTTCTTTCATGTGGCATATTGTTTCAGAGTTTATCCATGTTTTAGCATGTGTGAGTACTTCATTCCTTTTTATGGCTGATTATTTCATTACATGGATATATTACACTTTGTTTATCCATCATTCTTTCATTAAAAAATTTCTAATTGTGGCAAAATACACAACATAAAATTTACCATCTTAACCATTTTTTAAGTGTACAATTCAGTGGTATTAAAGTATGTTCACAGTGTTTTGCAACCATCTCCAGAACACATCTCATCTTGCAAAATTGACAATCTGTTTCCCTTAAACAATAACCCCCTACTACCCTCTGCCCCCAGCCCCCTGGCATCCACTTTCCGTCTCTATGAACGTGACTGCTCCAGGTACCTCATCGAAGTGGAATGGTACAATACTTGTCGTTTTGTGACTGGCTTATTTCACTCAGCATTCATGTCCTCAAGCTTCATTCACGTTGTAGCACGTGTCAGAAGTTTCCTACTTTTTCAGGCTGGATAGTTTATTGTATGTATATACCACATTTTATTTATCCATTCGTTCATTAATGGACACTTGGGTTGCTTCCACACTTTTGGCTATTGTGAGTAATGCTGCTATAAACATGGATGCATAAATATCTCTTCAAGACCCTGTCAGTTCTTTTGGGTATATACCCGAAGTGGCATTGCTGGATCATACAATAATTTTATATTTAATCTTTTGAGGACATGACATACTGTTTCCCATAGAGTAGGCACTATTTATATTCCCAAAAATGGTGCACAAGGGGTCCAGTTCCTCCACATCCTCACCAACTCTTGCTATTTTCTGTTTTATTCTTTTATTTTTATTTTATTTTTGCAAAGTGGTATTTCATTGTAGTTTTTTAAATTTTATTTTATTATGTTATGTTAATCACCATACATTATATCATTAGTTTTTGATGTAGTGTTCCATGATTCATTGTTTGCATATAACACCCAGTGCTCCATTTAATACATGCCCTCTTTAATACCCATCACCAGGCTAACCCATTCCCCCACCCTGCTCCCCTCTAGAACCCTCAGTTTGTTTCTCAGAGTCCATTGTCTCTCATGGTTCATCTCCCCCTCCGATTCCCCCCCCTTCATTTTTCCCTTCCTACTATCTTCTTTTTTTTTTTTTTTAAAGATTTTATTTATTTATTTGACAGAGAGAGACACAGCGAGAGAGGGAACACAAGCAGGGGGAGTGGGAGAGGGAGAAGCAGGCTCCCGCTGAGCAGGAAGCCTGATGCGGGGCTTGATCCCAGGATCCTGGGATCATGACCTGAGCCGAAGGCAGACGCTTAACGACTGAGCCACCCAGGTGCCCCATTTTTTTTTAAACATATAATGTATTATTTGTTTCAGAGGTACAGGTCTGTGATTCATCAGTCTTACACGATTCACAGCACTCACCGTAGCACATACCCTCCCCAATGTCCATCACCCAGCCACCCCATCCCTCCCACCCCCACCACTCCAGCAACCCTCAGTTTGTTTCCTGAGATTAAGAATTCCTCATATCAGTGAGCTCATATGATACATGTCTTTCTCTGATTGACTTATTTTGCTTAGCATAATACCCCCTAGTTCCATCCACGTCATTGCAAATGGCAAGATTTCATTTTTATTGATGGCTGCATAATATTCCATTGTATATATATATACCACATCTTCTTTATCCATTCATCTGTTGATGGACATCTTGGCTTTTTCCATAGTTTGGCCATTGTGGACATTGCTGCTATAAACTTATTCATTTGTTTTAAAATAAACATTCATTGAATATTTACTATGCCAAAGCTCTATACTTGGCAGAAACTGGGGCTCTGCCAAGATTGTTAAGTTGTAGTCTCCCTGCTCTCAGGAACAAAGGGAGATTCTAGAGATAGGTTGAAATGCAAGGTAATAGGTGCTTAATAGGATCAGAATTTTGTGTAAACACAGAGGAGGAAATGAGGAATTATTTGGGGAAAGCTTCACTAAGGACTTGACATTCAAGCTGGATGTTGAAAGGTGTGTGGGAGGAGGTCAGGTGGAGGAGGAAGGGTATTCTAAGCCCACAGAGCAGCACCTAGTAGCTAGCCTCCAAGATGGCCTCCAGGTTGGCCGCAATGACTACCCCCTGGTAGTCATGCTCTTGTATAAGCCTCCCACTATACTTTGGGACATTGAATAGTTCTGACCTGTAAAAACGATAGGATATTGTGAAAATGATGGTGTGTGACTTCTGAGACTATATCATAGAAGATCTTGTGCTTCCCTCTTGGATTTCTTGCTCTGTAGGAAGTCAGACATCATGTCAGGAGGACACTCGAGGTGCCTTCTGGTGAGTGCCAAGTGAGGGAACAGGAAACTTCCTTCCAGCCTATCAGCATAAGAATACCAGCATCAATTTGTCTGCTGTGTGAGGAAGCCACTGTGGAAGCCAATCCTCCAGCCCCATTAAACCTTCAGATGATGGCAGCTGTGGCCAATAGCTGACTGCAATCTCATGAAAGTTGGAGCCAAAGACGCCCACGAAGCCGCTCTCCATTTCCTGTCCAAAACCACCCAAAAGCCGAAAACCAATGTGAGAAAATATAAATTTATTATTGTTTTAATCCAGTAAGTTTTGAAGTAATTTGTTACACAGAAAGAAATAATGACTACAGCTCGAAGCGTGACAAATCTGGTATGTGGTGGAAATGGTGGCAGGAGAGACCACAAGACAAAAAATTCCAAGTTGAAAGGCAGCTCTCCCAAGGTTTGTGTAAGAGTGGGCGAGGGAGCCATCTGGTGGAAGTAGGTGTGCTTGGAAATTCTTTCCTCTTCCCACTCCTATTTTCCAGCCTCTTCTACCCAGCATTTCCCACTAGTATTTCTCCAAGGGCCACAGTGAGGTTTATGAGTCAATCATGTGGGCCATACACACCCTCGCTTAGAGATGCAAAGACTAACCTCTGGAAAATGTCAAGTTATTAGTTATCCTCTTTTTTTTTTTTAAATATTTTTTATTTATTTGATAGAGAGAGACACAGCGAGAGAGGGAACACAAGCAGGGGGGAGTGGGAGAGGGAGAAGCAGGCTTCCCACTGAGCAGGAAGCCAGATGCGGGGCTCGATCCCAGGACCCTGGGATCATGACCTGAGCCGAAGGCAGATGCTTAACGACTGAGCCACCCAGGTGCCCCTAGTTATCCTTTTACTATTTTATTTTCTCCTTCAGTCTCTTTCACTTACCAGTGACACTAGGATTTGAGGCAAAGAATGAAGACTCAGAATGCTGGAGAAGGGAAAGAAGGAACTGGGAAAACCTCATTATACAAAATTCAGAGTTAGACTCCCAAAAGCGGAGTCTAGTTGACCAGTGTCTAGTTACCGGGGGAAGCCTTGGTTCATTGATATTGGTCGTGACTGTTGTCCCTTTCTGCTCTTTAGAGCCTTCTTATATCCTCCAGTGTTCCCTCTGAATAATGTCTAGCTCTTGAATAATATCTCTCAATTGCAGAGCTGCCGGAAGAGAGAACCAATAATACTACTGGCGACAGCCAGTGTGAGGCCAGTGGTCCAGGCCCACCCAACGAGTAATTGCAAAGAAACCAAAATCTACCTTTGGAGTAAATTACTGATTTACTTAACTACCTGGGAAATTTCAGGTAGCTAAGATATTAAAGAAAAAGAAATGTTTTTCTATACTTCTAGACTCACCCTAAAGGAGGAGAGGCAGAGTCCAGCAGACAAGCCTGGCCCAGCCACAAAGCCAGGCCCATTCCTCTGAGAAGTATGAGGATTTCTGAATATAGCTTAGTGGACGGTGTGGGGATTTGGATCTGTCTAGGTTCCAGATGTTTGGAGGGTAAATGTCTGGTAAATGATAACTTCCCGCCGGGAGAATCAGAGAAGAGGTACAGACATTTGACTCCTGCTTAGACGAATGGGTTGGATTTGGACCAAAGCGGCGAGATGCACGACCGTAAACCTTTTGCTCCGGAGGCTCCGCAGTATTTAGTGACTAGCGGTCACTCAGGAATCTGGGCGGGGCTAAGCGAGGAAAGATGCGCAGGCGCAGTGCTGACGAGGGCGCTCACCTGCGCTGGAGCGGAAGGCGGGGCGGGCGTGATGACGTCATGGACACGCCGCCGCAGAGCAATTCGCGTCCCGGAAGCGGCGGCGGCGGGGGAGGCGGGGGAGGCGGGGGAGGCTCTCCGGATTGCGACTTCAGAGAGGCCCTTGGAAGAAGCGCATCCTCGGGGTGGGGCGGCCCTGAGGAAACGCTCCCGGGCCTAGTGTCCCTTCCAGTGCTCCCTGGCCGTCCCCGCCCCTCCCCTACCAACCCAGCGACCGGGTAGGTGAGGTGTCACCCCACCCCCACCCCCGGGTCTCTGCCGACTGTGTGGAGTTGGGCGCCTGGACGCAGCGGGGGCCGCCACCTGCTGGCCCAGAGACTTTGGGCGTGGCCTTCCCTGGTCTGGGCCGCAGGGCCCGAAGGGGCTCCGTGGGCTGCAGAGGTGGTGGTGGTACAGGCCTCTGTCGGCGCTGAACAGCTTCACCCCCTCCAGGGCTTTTTACCTTGCACCCTCCCTGGGTCCTTTAGTCCGAGCTTCACCTGCGGTATTTCAGGCTCCCGGTGGCCCCTTGGTCACATCCCCATCCCCAATCCCAGGTCAGGTTGCAGTCCATTGCGAGGGACTGGCTTATGTTGCTGTGCGTCAAGATTCGACCCTTTCTGTCCCCTCCTTTTCTTTTTAGGGTTTGGGGTAGGACTTTGAAATTAGGGAAGAGGGTGAGGGTCTCCCCATCGGAGAGGGGAGATGGGAACGGGGCCTTATGGAAGGAGGTGACTGCCCCGTGGGGTTCAAGGGAAAAGGGAGGGTAATGGGCAGGAATGGTCCAGGAAGTTGTTGGGAACAGAAAGGAGAAGGAAGCGTTAGAAGATGTGGCGGGGCGGGAGAAAGCATGGGAGTCCGAGAGGATGGACAGTTCGTTCACTCTTTCAGTGAGCATTAATTAACCTTCCACTGTGTGCAGAAGCAGTGGTAAATGGAAGACATAGTTTTTGACCTGGTGGAGCTCCAAGTTAAGCACAGACCCGCAAGAAAGCAGGGAGTTTTACTTTGGTGTGATAAATGCTGTTAGGGCAAGTACATGATCCATTGGGATTATTGGGGAGGGTCTCCCATTCCAGACTGGGGGCATTGGCAAAGACTTCTCAGATCAAGGGAGCAATGTTTCAGCCATTACTTGAAGGATGAGTAGGAATTAACCAGGTCAGGAGTGGGTGAAAAATATTCCAGGTCATCATTTCTCTTTAGACATCAGGCTGCCTCTTCCCAGCAGCCATGTGCGCTTGGTCTTTATGGTTTATACTCTTGATGGGTCTGTGGGGAAAACAACATTAGTTGGAGAGTCAGAAGAGCAGGATTTTATATCTGGGCAATTCACTTCACCCTGCTGAACGTTTTTCCTCTCTGTGAAATGGGTATTCTACCTGTAACCCTTTCTACCTCACAGGTTTATTATAGGCACCACATAGACTAATGTAAGTAGAAGTGTGTTGGGGATTGGAAGTGCGATGCAAATGTCAGGAATTATTATGGTTGCAGGATGCAGACATCAGAGCGTGAGGGGAGTGGGCCAGAGGTGAGCCCCAGCGTGATGCCTGAGGTTCCCCTGGAGTCTCCACCTGCCCCTACCAAGTCCCCGGCATTTGATCTTTTCAACTTGGTTCTGTCCTACAAGAGGCTGGAGATCTACCTGGAACCCCTGAAGGATGCAGGTGACGGTGTCCGGTACTTGCTCAGGTAACAGACTTTGTAGAGTTGCTCTGACCAGCTAGACCTTCTGCTTTCCTGCTCCATAGTTGTGCTGGCCACTTAGGCAGTTGCTGGGCTGTCCTTTCTGCCCTCGTGAGGAGTGGTTCTGGGAGGTCCATTGGTTCCCTGGGCTTATTCCAGACCTACCCCAGGAGAGCTAGGCCTTGGGAACCAGATGGTCTTTCACCAGAGTTTCTTCTTTGTCATTCAGTAAGCTCATACATACCTCAGGACTGCTAATTAGCCTTGAACATCGGGCCTTCTAAATTTTAAAGGAGTTTTTTTTTTTCCTTCTCTATCAGTATTAGCATAATTAATATTAAAATTAGGATGTAAATTTGAACATAAGTTAAATATAAGTACCTGTGAATAAGCAGGTACCCTTTTCACTAATCTTTTAGGATTACGGAGCTCAAAATTTTTTGTTGTTATTTTGCTTTGATTTTCATCCTCCATATAATTTCTTTTTTCCCTTTTCAGGTCACTTTATTTCTTATCTTAAAGAATTTTAAGGACAGATATATGCTATTCCACTCCCTAAATACTTCAGTTTATTTCTAAATAATAATGACTTTTTTTAATGAGAAAAAGCAACATCACACCTAACAAAGTTAATAATTTCTTGATATCATTTTATACCCAGTTCATATTCAGATTTCCCCAGTTGTCCCAAGAATGTCATGTTTTGGTCAAATCAGATTGCAGTCCAGGACTGTGCATTTTATTTGGTTATAACGTCCCTTGAGTCTTCTCAATCTAAAATAGTTTCTTTTTCATGATACTGACTTGCTGGAGACGGAGCTGACAGTCCTGGAGAATTTCCTACTTAGATTTGTCTGGTTGCTTCCTCATGGTGCAAATTGGAAATTAGATTTAAAGGTTGGATCAAATTCAAGTGAAACTCCCTCCCCCCACAAAGGTCATGTGTTCCTAATATTGGGAGCCACGTAAAACCTGGTTGTCCTACAGAGCAGACATTCATAACCTGGAGCTTGTGAGTGGGGCTTTAGGGCTCACTGAACCTCCTGAAACTACACGTAAAACTTTGTATGTACACGCGTGTGTATTTCTAAGGGGGAAGCTTCTAGTTTTCATCAGATTCTCATAAAACTTTCCAGTCCTCTGAGAGAGGCAGGAGGCAGGGTAAGTGGAGTTGGGTTAACCTCTAAGAGTGCTATTGAATATTCATTCTTACCTCAGTCTGGAAATAGTGGGAGGTTTATTTTTTACTCCCTGAACAAGGCCTTAAATTTTTCTTGTTCACCTCAGAACCCCTTTAATTTATGGCATTAGCCCTAGAAGTGAGCGGGCTTGTATTCCATAGCAATGTTCTTATCATTAGATCACTGTCCCCTTGGTGCAAGGAGTAGGGGAGATGATGGTATGAGGGACTTGTTTTATAATCCCACCATGACCATCCAGCTGAAATGAATTTTAGTCTCCGGGTTTTCTGCTGTGCACACATGCAGGTGTGTGAATATGTTTGTGTGTTTTACCCTTTTGTGGCAAAGCACAAAAGTTAAATATAGCCTGCCTTTCACCTATTCCACCACTGATCTCTTAGTGTTTCTTGGCACTCATGTTAGGGTTTTTCCATTTTATGAAATTAGAAATCTGAGGATGTGGTGGGATTGATTAAAACTGGATGGAGGGGGAGCAGCATTTGGCCTAAAAGAGCCCCCAGGAGATTGTGGTTCTGTGCCACTGGGAGACAGAGCACTGGTCTGTGAAAATGGCTGTCAGATTAGTTTGTGCTTTTGATTGTTCTTTTCTTAGTAAAGAGGATTTGACTTTCAAGAGGGACCTAATCTTGAGCTTTGTCTGTTAGGTCTGAAACCTAGAGGTGCATTAGATTTTTAAAAGACACCTCTCTTCTGGGATCAGCTACTCTAGTAGGTGGATTTCTATGACCGAAGTGTCAGTAAAGATAGGGGAAAGAATGGGGAAGTTTTACAGTGAAAGTGACTTCAGTGGCTGTATGATGTTTTTATTTCTGAAGTGGGATTGTCCTTAGACCAGACTTTTAATTTGCTCTTACGCTTGTAGCTGCCACTAGCTGGTTCTGCGGCCTAATTAGGGTGGCACAGTGGGGGATGCTGGGTTTTCAGAGAAAGGCAGGTCATTTCATTCCCTTACTCATAACTTTCATGAAAAAATAGAAGCAGGGGCACCTGGATGGCTCAGTCGGTTAAGCGTCTGACTCTTGATTTCAGCTCAGGTCATGATCTCAGAGTTGTGAGATCAAGCCCTGTGTGGGCTCTGTGCTCAGCGGGGCATCTGCTTGAGATTCTCCTTTCCCTCACCCTCTGCCCTTCTACTACCCCTCCTTCCCCCACAAAAGAATAAAAGCACATAATTTAGTGAACTTCATTTAGCAACTGAAATACCTCAATCACAGCAAAAGAAAATACATTCATTGGGGGCGCCTGGGTGGCTCAGTTGTTGGGCATCTGCCTTTGGCTTGGGTCATGATGCCAGGGTCCTGGGATCGAGCCCCACATCGGGCTCCCTGCTCCGCGGGAAGCCTGCTTCTCCCTCTCCCACTCCCCCTGCTTGTATTCCTTCTCTTGCTGTGTCTCTCTCTATCAAATAAATAATAAAATAAAATCTTAAAATACATTGAGGTTCTGAATACATTGCTTGCCAGCAGCTTGCCTGTTTTTCTCTTTGACTCTCCCTCAGTTGACTGACCTTATAGATGCTATACTGCTGTTACTTTTTTATTTATTTAATTTTAAAGATTTTATTTATTTGACAGAGCGAGAGACAGCGAGAGAGGGAACACAAGCAGGGGGAGTGGGAGAGGGAGAAGTGGGCTTCCCACTGAGCAGGGAAGCCTGATGCGGGGCTTGATCCTAGGACCCTGGGATCATGACCTGAGCTGAAGGTAGACGCTTAATGACGGAGCCACCCAGGCGCCCCTACACTGCTGTTTAGACTATAGGCGTCCATGCCTTCATTGTTACATCTGTGCTCCTTTTCCCCTATTAAATGTCCTTTATCAGGGACGAAGCCTGCAGAATTTGATTGTCCTCAGCAACTCAAGTCTCTGGTCTTCTTTCTTTCCTCTTTGGGGGCCTCTGCGCTGCTATTTGGTGGTGGTGGTGGGGGGGCTGGGTCTGCATGTGCTTCCGGCTGTTCCAGTTCACTTAGGGCATGTCTGCTGAAAGAATGCTATACCCCGGTTTCAGTTTCTTTTTTGATATATTAAAACAAAATCTTCATTATTTTTTCTCCTTTTGGATTAACATATGTTAAAGTCTCAAAATTTCAGAAATCAGAGAAAGTCACAAATGCGGTCACAGAAATCCTTCACGTTTTGTTCTCTTGATTTCTGTATTAGATGAATCTTGCACAGTGAGTATATGTTCCTGTGAAATTGTAAAAAAGAATAAGGGAAAATTTTAAAGAAGAAAATTCGTCATTGTTACCTCTTAAAGAGACCAGAACCTTACAAAACATGGTTAAACAGTATTAACTGGGTTTCTTAACAGATATTTTATAAATTCTTCTTCTGGGAGAAAGTTCCACAGGTCTAGTTCTGAGAGGATACCCTTTCTTATCCCGGGGCCTAATGTGTGACCTTAACTCCTCTCCCAGTTGCCTGTCTATGTGAGAGGCCCACTTTTCATTTCTCCTTGACACTCTGAACTCCAGGCCCCTTCCTCTTGGTCCTGATTTTGATGATCCACCTGTGATGGTTGTCTCCTCCCCCCACCCCAACTGGAGGAGTGGCCATCTTTAGTGACCAGGACTTTCTTGTGTTGTAGGTGGCAGATGCCTTTGTGTTCCTTGCTGACCTGCCTGGGCCTCAACATCTTGTTCCTCACTTTGAATGAGGGTAAGAACTGATTCCAGGGGCAGGGGGGGTTTGTGAATGGATGTGGGAAGGAATTCCCAGAAGTGGCCGCTTGTCTTGCCATGGAGTTGGCCTCCATGTCTGCTTGATGTCAGAAAACCGGCTCTGGAGAGACACACTCTGGGCTAGAATCCTGGCTGGGTTGTTGAGGTGGCAGGTTCTTTAACCTGTTTGTTAAGGCCTAATTTTCCTCCTCTCTAAAGGGAGGATAATAATAGTGCTGTCCTCAGAGAGTAGTTGTGAGGAACGAGGTAGCCTGTATATAACATTTAGCACGGTGCCTGACATCGAGTAAGCAGCCAATGTATCGTAGCTATCATTAGTTTCCTTCTTGACTGAATACTGGTGGTGTGACCTTTTTCCATTTTGATTTCCAAGCTGATTCTGGGGTCAATGGGGGCATGACATGGGGTGAAGGTGCCAGGAAGGTGAATGGTTAAGAGATTTTTGCCACATACATTGATTTTCTCTGGCTCAGCAGGTGAGCCTGGAGGGGGCTGCTGGGCAGTCACCAGCTCTGAGGGGTCTGTGGCATGAAGCCTTTGAGGTAGATGTGTGGACAGGTGGATGGCTCTAGAGATCTTGGGTAGTGATGTCTCCTGGGGACCTTTTGTGACGAGATATACCAGGACCCAGCCCTTTTCCTGTTTGAACTGACAGGTAGCTACAGAAAAAGCTGAACCCCTGGGGGGAGATGTGTGAAAGGCCTGAGACAGAATGTTCTGAGGAGTGGGGTCCTTTATTCATGTATTCATTCTTCTATCAAACTTGGATTTCTCAAGTGTCTCCTTTATTTCCTACAGATATGGATTCAGTGGGTTGAAAATGAACCCGGTTTTCACATAATACCTCATTTTCTGTTTCTCCTATGACAGATATTTAACTAGTATTTAATCTGTGCCCAGTGCTCTATTAGCTTGCTTTGGGGGTACCGTGCTACATGGAAGAAGATCCTTTGGATTTTCTCTCAGCCTCCCCATTTCTCAGTTCACAGTGGTCTGTCTGTGGTATTCTAAAAGCCAAAGGAAAGGCTTCCAGTCTGCTCCAGTGGCCCAGAGGTCAGAGTGTCAGTCATGGGGATCTCCTAGCGGCCAGACTCCAGGCACGAGCCGCCTACTGTGTGCTAGCATAGGTTTGTTAATATTAACAAAAAAAAAAAAAAAATGGGTCTGGGGCTATAGTAGTAACCAAACGGATAAAGTCCCAGCCTTCAAGAGCCTATGTTTGTAGAGGAGACAACAACTATGCCTATAATCAGTCATGTGATAAATTCTGTGAGGAGAAAATAAAACTGAGTTACAGGATTGCAGAGTGAGCAGGGAAGATACTCTTTCACCCAAGGTGATCAGGGAAGGCCTTTTGGACAGAGCCCTGGAGGAGGCGAGCATGTGGGCATCTGGTGGGCAGAGGCTCCTGGTCCTTGCTCCTCATTTACCTGCAGTGTTATTGATCCCATAGGTGCATGGTACTCGGTGGGTGCCCTGATGATTTCAGTGCCTGGCCTTCTGGGCTACCTTCAGGAGGTTTGCCGGCCACGGCTGCCTGAGTCTGAGTTGATGCGGAGGAAGTATCACAGCGTGAGGCAGGAGGACCTCCAGAAAGTTCGCCTCTCTCGCCCTGAGGCTGTGGCTGAGGTGAAGAGCTTGTGAGTATGCAAGGGGCCAGGGAGGTGGGACATGGTCACAGTAATAGTGGCCACCACACTGAGTGCTTGCTTTGTGTGAGGTGTTGTATAAGGGAAACCACAGATGTTCTTTCCTTTGATCTTTTGAACAGCTCTGGGAGGTAGCTACTGTTACTATCCTCCATTTATGGTTGAAGATAAAGGCTTACACAGCGGAAAGGTGACCAAGCTGGGATAAGAATCCAGATCTAGCTGATTTCACAACTTGTGTTCTTTCCACTAGAGAGACAGTTTAGGGTCTTGACTGAGCGCGTGCACACGTGAGCCACGGCCAGGGTTCAAATCCCAGCCCTCCATTTACTTGCTCTGTGGCATTGGGTGGGTTGCTCAGCCTCCCTGTGCCTCAGGTTCCTCACCTGTTAAATGACATAATAGTAGACTTACCTCATAGGTGGTTGTGAAGACTGAATGAGTGTCTGGTACCCAGGAAGTGTTCAGTAAAGGTTAGTCACTATCACTACACTATCGAGAAGCTTCCTAAGTGTGACAGAGCTGGTACTTCCGAAGAGCCACATTAAGACCGTTGAATAACATTAACCATAGCATCTGCAAAGCTTCAAAAGAAAGTTACAAATGGAGGCCTGAGCTTGGCCCCCGTCTGAGTCAGTTTTCTGGAGTGGGGTCTGGGTATCCCCCCCCCTTTTTTTTTTTAATTTATTTATTTGACATAGAGACAGTGAGCACAAGCAGGGGGAGTGGCAGGCAGAGGCAGAGGGAGAAGCAGGATCCCCACAGAGAAGGGGGAGCCCAATGTGGGACTCGATCCCAGGACTCCTGGATCATGACCTGAGCCGAAGGCAGTCGCTTAACCAACTGAGCCACCCAGGCGCCCTCCCCCCCCCTTTTTTTAATGACTTTAAACTCAAATGGGAGTTGCAAGAATAATACAGAGAAACTCCCATAGGCCCTTTACCCAGCTAGAACAGTCATTAACATTTGCCACATTGGCTTCATCTATTGCTCTTCACTTGCATGTTATTTTTTTTCTTACTGAACCATTTGAAAGTAAGTTGCAAACATCATACATTTTTACCCCAAATACTTCTTTCCTAAGAACAAGGATGTTCTCTTATATATTCATAATCGTATAATCAAAATTAGAAAATTTTACATGGCTAACATAAGCATTCCTGCAGTTATCTAATATATAGTTCATAATCAAATTTTACCAGTGGTATTAATAAGGTCTTTATATAAATTTTCCCTCCTCCAGAATCCAGACCTGAGTCATATGTTACATTTAGTTTTTTATGTCTTCTTAGTCTCCTGTAACCTGGAATACTTCCTTAGTCTTTGTTTCTCATGACCTTGACACTTTTAAATAGGATGAGCTTATTATTTGTAGAATTTCCCTCAATTTGGGGTTGTCTCCTTATGATTAGATTGCATTTTTGCAGGAGTATGACAAGCATTGTGTTGTTGTCAGTGTATCATATCGAGATACATGATGTCAGTCTGTCCCATTAGGGGAGATTCTAACTTTGATCATTTGGTTAAGGTTTCTCTACTATAAAATGACCATTGCTGGGTCTTATCTTTATCACTTTATTACTGTGATAGTTGTGAAGGTGATTTTCTAATTGGCATTGTTAGCTAGCATCTGCTCTAAGAAAGAGCTCTTCCATCTTATCAGTATGAACTCAAGATTCTTAATTTTATTTAATGGGTTGTAATCCATTACTGTCATTATTTTGATCTCATTGTCCTAGGTTTGGCAGTAGGAGCTCTTTTGCACTGGCTCCTGTGTTCTTTTGATATGTCCCCATTATTTTTTTTTAAGATTTATTTATTTATTAGTGTGTGAGCGCACGCACGCGCATGGGGGTGGGAGGGTGGGGGTGGAGGGGCAGAGGGAGAGAGAATCTTAAGCAGACTTCCCGCTGAGCACAGAGCCTGATGTGGGGCTTGATCCCACAACCCCGAGATTATGACCTGAGCCAAAATCAAGAGTTGGATGCGCAACCAACTGAGCCGCCCATCATTTCTGAGTGCATACGTTACTCAGATTCATCTTATGCTTGCACTGCTCCCGCTCTGGAATCAGCCATTTCTCCATGGAGCCCTTCAGAAACCAAGATCTGGGTGCAGCATGCATTCATTTTTTCTGGGGGTGCATCCATTAAAAAAACTCTCCAAGTGAGTCTGCCTTACACCCCAGGTGAAGACACAGTGATCTCTATCCCACCATTTATCCTACAGCTGCAGTATGTCTGTGAGGGGGGCTACCCTGCTCCTCATTTTACCTTGGCCCTGGGAAAGTTAAGCAGCTGGCCCAACATCAACAGCTAGGAAGAGACCCAGGAGGGAACATTTGTCCTTTGTGCATCTCTGTAGGGGTTCTGAAAGGCGGACTGAAATGTACGCAGGTTCTCCTGAGCTCTCCGGCCCCTCCCATGGGTTCAAAGAGACCAGCTGTCCCTGGCTAGCTGTGCCCGTGAAGTCCTAGGCTCTGTGGCCCCAAGCTCTGGCAGGCCCGTGGGTGTGCGGCTCATGGAAGGCCCCCCCGCCCCTGTGCCCACAGCCTGATCCAGCTGGAGGCCTTCCTGAGCTGCCTGTGCCGCACCTGTGAAGCTGCCTACCGCGTGCTGCGCTGGGAGAACCCCGCCACGTCCTCGCAGTGAGTGGCCCCTGGTCCCCCCCACCGCTGCCCTGCAGGGCTTTGCTCAGGGGAGGAGAGCCTCTGAGGCACTTGTGTGCAGACCTGCACGTGAACTTGTGGGCTGGGATGTATGGCTTTTGTTTAGACACCTTTTAGGTGTGGGAACAATATTTTAATAGTAGAAACATAACTCACCGTGTAAGCTCTCACCCACTTGTTTGATTAGCAGATGTCATGTTTATTAAGTGTGCCCGTTGCCATGTGGCTGTGCTCCAGAGTGGTTTCCTTCTAATCGCAGGAATTTCTGATGCTGTGGTTCCTCTCTGTCAATGCAGGTTCTATGGGGCTCTTCTGGGCACGGTTTGCATGCTGTATCTGCTGCCCCTGTGCTGGGTCCTTGCCCTTTTAAACAGCACGCTCTTTCTGGGGAATGTGGAGTTCTTCCGAGGTAAGCCCTGGACAGCTCCGCAGAGATGGGGCCCAGGCGCTGGGGGGGCTAGGTGAGGCTCCCCCGCTTGTCTGGCTCTACAGCTAATCATCCGTTTGCTCTGCATTCCACAAGGGGGCAGCACCACACCAGGGTAGTTTCTGGGAGGGCTCTTGGGCTCTGCATCTGAGATGTCAGGGGGGATCCAGGGGAGGCTGCTATGGTCGGGGTCCCTTTCCCGTCCCGAGGCAGGTGAATCCCTGCTTATGTGATGTGGTGGCTTCTGGGAGATGAGGAAGGGATGTTTTCCCAGTGCTGCCACCCGCCTCCTGGGACGCAGCCACCTGGAGTAGCTGCTACTTCTCTGTGTGATCCTGGACTTCTCATCTGCCGTCTAGCTTCTAAAGCCGTGAGGCAATCTGGAGAGGCCCTGAGCCACAGAAACCTGGGCTTCTACATATGTTTGGGTGATTGCTATATTTGTTTTCCTCCCTGTAGTTGGATAATTAGTTACAGAAGCTATAATTCGTCGAGCACTTACTACATTTAATCCCTCTATAACAATCACATGGGGTGGGGGGTTAGGATCTCTGTTTTGCTTATGAGGCTTAGGTTAGGTGATCTGTTCAGAGTTAGGAGGGTGACTTTCTTGCAGCAGAGAGTGGGCTGCTGGTGGAAGAGGCCAGCCACCTGTAGAAGGGGGTACCCCCAGAGCACCACTCATTCCATCCTGTTTCTGCCTCCCACTCTGTTTTTGCCCTGGGTAGTGGTGTCTGAATACAGGGTATGTCTGCAGCGGCGGCTGAAGCCCAAGCAGAAAGACAGCGTCTTTGAGAGCCCACCACTGCTGGAGGCTGGGGGAAAGTCTGCTCTGCCGGACTGCACGCCTGCACCCACACCCACAGAGGTGAGTGCCCCGCACCATCAGGGCAGAGCCTCCTGCGGACAGGTTGTGGGGCCTTCTAGTTCCCAGCTTGTTCATGCCACAGAGCTCCTGGCCTCTTTACAGTTCCTGCTGCCTCCCTGGTCTCCTCTTTTTTGAAATGTTTAATAATAATAATTGTAATGATAACAGCTACTGTGTGCTTTGTTGAATGGTGATTCCGCTGTTCTAAGTACTTTATAGATATTAACCCTGTGAGGTGTAGGTTGCTTCTGAGAATGAGAGGGTTCTCTTCTGCAGAGGAGAAGGCTGAAGCACAGAGTTCTTGTGCCAGGGTGGTGGGGCCAGGACTCAGACCAGGCCCTGTGGTTCTGGCACCTGTGCTGCGCAGCCGCCGTAGGGCCATCTGTGGTCTTGGGCCTGTTTCCCTGCCTCTGCGAGGTCAGAGAGTGCCCTCCTTCGCGTGACTTCTTTCTTGCATGTGTGCCATCTCCTCTGGGGCAGGAATGGATGTTTTAGGGAACCTGGATGTTTGCTCCAGGAAGCTGGTGGCCTGTACCTTAGAGGGCAGGGCTGCCCTCCCTCTCCTTCTGTAATAGTCTCTCTTCCCAGGACCTCACGCCTGGCAGTGTGGAGGAGGCCGAGGAGGCTGAGCCCGATGAGGAGTTTAAAGATGCGATTGAGGTGGGTGGCCCTTCCCCACCACCCTCTACTGATCAGGCCAGAAGCGTGGTCTGGGAGCCAGGCGGCTTCTCACATCCCAAGTCTAGGTTTTTCAGTTCTCTTTGTCCAAATGAGCAGTCAGAACTTGTGAGCTAGAGCTCACTGGATGAAAGGGTGCCTCTGAACTTCTGCCCATTCTGTGACTGACCTGCTCATCTGTCATGCATGCTCAGGGGTGGGATGGCTCTGGAAGCCTCTGGGAAGCACCCTGTGTTGGGGGGTGGATCATTTACCACCTACCACCTAGGCTGGAGACTCTGGGCTTGGTGCCTTGGATGTGGGGGAGGCAGATTTGGGGGAAGGCACTGTCCCGGGTCTCTCACTGCTCTGACACAGAATGAGGTCTGAAAGATGTCTCTTTGGGGGGCAGGGAGGGGAAGTTGGAGAAAGCGGTTGTAGGCCAAGGACTAGGTCAAGGAGTCCTCCTGATTTTAAGACAGTGATTCAAACTGGTAGTTTACAGAAGCATTTTATTTGGCATCCAAGACATTTACAAATGGAGAGATTTCAACGACAAGTCTGGATTTTTAGTTCCTCTGAAAAATCAGCAGCTCTGGTAGCCCCGAGTGTGCAGTGGTCAGTGTAGCTGAGGAGTGACTGTCCCCTTTAGAAAAGTCACCTAGTCCCCACCCCTGCCCCCACCCTCCTTGTCCCTGGTCCCTGAGTCCTAGTGTGGTGGCTGTTGTCACAGCTGTGCTGTTGCATTTCCATATAGCAGGAAGTCATTTCTCCGTCTCTTTGTAAAGGGGGACATTGAGGTATAAGAAAGGGCTTTGTGCGTTGCCTCTGATTTACCCTAGCCCATTTCACTCTCGCCTCCGCCTCGTCTATGTCTGCATTTGCATTTTCAACTGCTTAAAGATTTCGCCCAGACTTGAATACACGACTGCAGATTGTGCATCTTGGTGCTGGGGGTGTAGGGAGTGTATACACCAGGGCTTTCGGGCTCTTTGGTTCCTAACCCACAGTAGTGACCACATTTTACATCTTGGCCTAGTTCACACTTAACGTCTGTAAAATGTGTAAAACTTAAATGAAGCAAAAGTTTTCTGAAAATACATTCTGAGGGATATTTTGTGTTCTCTTCTATTGAAGTAATGAGCAACTTTTAATGCGTTATTTCACCCAGTTTGAGAAGCCGTAGTACCCAGCTTCTCTCAAGCCGATTTGACGCTGGGCTCCTTCTCTGGGGCCTCTGTGAACGTCACCATCTGTGGCGTGCTCAGACAACTCAGAGTGGCACTTCCCTGTTCCCTTTTGCCTGGGGCTCTTCCGGCGGCATCCTTCTTCTTGCTATCTCTTTCTGTTTTCTCTCCTTCTCCCGCGCACCTTGGGAGGCAGGAGACACACTTGGTGGTGCTGGTAAGTAGGAGCCTTGGGGAGGCAGGCAGGGGCCGGGCAGGGGGAGGGTGACTGAGCTGGCTGTCCCCGTGCCTCGTGGGGTCGGCCGTGCTGGGGACCTCTGCACGTGGCTCCTGGAGCCCTGCTTCGAGGTGGGCAGGATTGGAAGGAGCTGTTCCCACAGGAGGATGATGAAGGTGCCCCGTGCCCAGCAGAAGACGAGCTGGTTCTGCAGGACAACGGGTTCCTGAGCAAGAATGAGGTGCTGCGCAGCAAGGTGTCACGGCTCACGGAGCGGCTCCGCAAACGCTACCCTACCAACAACTTTGGTACGGCCAGGGCTGAGGAATGGGGGCGGTGTGGGCACCATGGGGCCAGAGTTTTGGAATTGTGGCTACTGGTTTGTGATGAGAGCAAGGAGTAAAGCTATGTTCACGGGCCCCAGGGAAGGTAGCGGACACACAATGGGACTGCCAAGGGAGTGAGTGTGGGTTCCTTCTTGAACGTTAACTTGTGGGAAGTTGAGGCACTCTGTTCCAGAAACACCACTTTAGGACTGTAGAGAGATGTAATCCTGAGGCAGAGGCTCAGAAGGCAGTGTGGCATGATGGCTGAGAACAGAATGTAGCGTCTGACTGCCTGGTGTAAATCCCAGCTTTGCTGGGTGTCCTTGAGCAAATGATGTAACCTCTCTGTGCCTCAGTTTCCCCTTCTAAAAAAAGGGCAGTAATAACAGTTCTTCCCTCACAGGGTTCTTCGAGGTCTCTAACGAGGTGATGTTTATTAAGTGGTAGCACAGTGCTGGCTGGGTCACAGTAAGGGCTTAATAAGGGGTGCTGTTAACATGAGGGGTCCTGGTCCATCCTGCAGGTGCCTAGCAGCTTGTCTGGATCTTCCCTACCCAGGTTGAAACAAGTTGAAGCAAAAAGTATCTTCCTCTGCACACGATAGAACCCTGAGGTCCCTTCTCCTCAGCCAGGTTCATGGACTGGCCAGTACTTATTTTCCTCGGAGGGGGTGGGGGTGGATCAAGGAAGGCAGCTTTGGAGAAGGGTAGACCTGACTGTTGGCATGGTGGGAAACCTGTCTCAGACCAGGAGAGCGGTTGCTGAGCCAGATAGAGTTCTGGCTGAAGAGGGCAGGTGACTTGGGAGTCATGCTGGTTTTGAGGAAGAGCCTTGTTTCTCCTTGGAGTCAGCTGCCAGGAGGAGGAGGTGGCTATACTGTGTGTTCTGGTGGGATTGAGTTCTAGGCTCTGCACCCTGGGAGAAGCCCTGGGGTTCATTTGAGGCATTTGACCCAGGGCATCCAGGGGCCTGCCTTCCTGCCCCTGTAGCACCCAGGGCAGTTGTTTTTCAGGATTCAAGGTCCTGGACATGCAGTTTCTTTCTGCTCTGTGAGTATGCGCCAGTCATTTCGAGTTCCCCTTTATTTGTGATGATCACTGACTTCTCTGGGGCACTGTGTTCAGTGCACTTGCATGTACACGGTCTCATCTAGTCCATATGGTAGATGTGATAGGGACAGGCGGTTCTTAGGGGCTTAGAAGCAGCTGGGTTCCAGAAGTCCCAAGTGACACTATGTAAGAATTAGTACTCTTGCTCTAGCATGTGATTCATTTGTCAGTATGAATTTTAAGTAAAGGCCTTTAGATGTTCTCATTTGCAGGTGAGTAACCTCAGGTGAGAAAAGTGATTTGCCCCATGTCTTCAGCCAGTAAATGGTTGAGCTGTGACTCAAATCCAAGCCATCTGATCTGGCTCCTGTGTTCTTGTGTTTTTTCTCACTCAACATGCTCCCTTTTTGCCTTAGTGTCTGAGGTCCTCTGGCTTTATGTCTGTCTTATTTCAGTATTTGGTTTTTGGTTCAGGTAGTCCCGGCCGGGATGGGTGAAGGCCTTTGAGTTTCACATGAGGCTGGCAAGGGCAGTGCTGCTTTTTTCTAAGCCTCTCTTAATTCCCATTCTTTAAGACTGCTCGTGGTCTTCTCCCTGAGATGTTCTCAAGCTTCTTGCTGTGAGGGCAGGTACAGCAGCTCTGCTCCTCGGTCTGGCTCCTGCAGGCCAGGGTGAGGTGAGCAGTTTTCGGGGCCGCTCCATTCCGGCTGCCCGTGGAGGATGGGGATGCATGGGACAAATGAGGACAGGCTGCTCAGGGGCTTCTATGTGGCCCCGTTCTGTCCCAGAGGCTCTTTGACCATTACCCTGGCAGGGCCCCTGCAGTCTTAGGTTCTTTCCTGCTCCTGTGGCATCATCACATGGTGAGTCAGGCCCTTTGCTGAGGATGGGGGCAGGGAGAGTCAGAAGATTTTGGAAGGGAACAGGGCCGCTCTCCTCCATCTACCTGTCTTGAGCTGTCAGCATCCTAAGCCCTCCCAGGCCCAGGCTTGTGCTTGGGTACATGTTGGTTTCACTAGACCACATGGCTGCCCTGGGATGCTTGGCCCCGACATTCCATCCTGGAGTTGGGCCTGAGTGTCAGTCTTTGAGTGGCTCCAATCCACTGCCCCATTGCCCCTTGTCCCCTTTGTTAAGGAGAAGCAGAAGTGGGTTGCTTTTTTTTTTTTTCCTTTTAAAGATTTATTTATTGGGGCACCTGGGTGGCTCAGTGGGTTAAATGTCTGCCTTCAGCTCAGGTCATGATCTCAGGGTCCTGGGATCGAGCCCTGCATCGGGCTCCCTGCTTGGTGGGGCGTCTACTTCTCCCTCTCCCTCTGCCTACCCCATCCCCACTCATGTTCTGTCACTCTCAAATAAATAAATAAAATCTTTTTTTTTTTAAAGATTTTATTTATTTATTTGAGAGAGAGAGAATGAGAGAGAGAAAGCACATGAGAGGGGGGAGGGTCAGAGGGAGAAGCAGACTCCCTGCTGGGCAGGGAGCCCGATGCAGGACTCGATCCAGGGACTCCAGGATCATGACCTGAGCCAAAGGCAGTTGCTTAACCAACTGAGCCACCCAGGCGCCCTAAATAAATAAAATCTTAAAAAAAAAAAGATTACTTCTTTGAGAGAGAGAGGCTCGATTTCACAACCCGTGAGATCATGATCCGAGCCTAAACCAAGAGTCGGACACTTAACCGCCTGAGCCACCCGGGTGCCCCGAAGTGGGTTGCTTTGCCCACATTCTTAGTGTGGGGGCCAAAGTCTTGGAGTAGCCTGATTGCTGGTTTGGCATCAAGGCGGCAGTACCTGCTATGCTTTTCCCTCTCCTCTGCCAGGCCAGGAGCTACCTGGCAGCAATGGCATTCACCTTACGCACCTTGGCCTCAGGCTTCTTGCTCTATCTTGGGTAGGCCCGTCTTTCCTTGAACACAGGCAGTGTCCTGTAACAAGGGCTGCAGGGGTTTCTGGTGGAGCAGAGGAAGAGACCACATGTGGCTGTCAATATAGCTCTGGGCCTTTGTGTGAAGGTGAGGCCCGGGGCTCTGTACCTGGCCACATAGGTGGTTCAAGAGGCCCAACAGTGCTTCCTGAAGCTGCTAATTGCTCTGGCCAGATCCCAGGAGGCCTTTGGGCCCCAAGCTGTAGACATTTACTCCAGTAGCTTTATTATCCACTCTCAAGTGTTTTCAGGACCCAACTCAGCTTCCTTCTGGGCCCATAGCCCTGCGCTGGGCTCTGTAGCCCCTTTCAGGAGCACCTTCATGCCCACCGTGGAACCCCGGGCTTTTTCCCCTGGCTCAGTGCCCCCTGCTTGCATGGAGATTTTTGCCTCAGACCATAGTCTGTGTTCCTGGGCATAGCCCTTGGAACCTTCTTTGTTCTCTTCAGGGTTTGCTTTTGTTCCTGGAGCTTGGTGAAGCCATCAGGCACAGTGTGGCCTTTCCTCTCCTCAGGCCTCAGTTTGCCTCTGCCTTTTGGTTCCCTTCATTCACCTGCATGCGCCCCCTTCAGCAGACTGTGTCTTTGCTGCAGTCCACTTTTTCCGTCTGTAATTTTCCTGGAAGCACGGGTGGGTGGTGAGCATAGTGGCTTCTGAAAGAACCATTGGTTCCCTCCCTCCCTGTCCTTCATCTCTTCTTACACCCCCTCACCTTCTCCCTTGCATTTGCTAAGCTGCTGTTGACTCCTCCAGCATGGTCCGAAAACTTGATCATTTCGTGTGTGGTGGTTTAGGTGGAGTCTGTCACGGCTCTACCCTGCTCCGTCCTGCCCACCACTCAGTGTCTGTGCCCCTGCCCTGCATATCTTCTTGGAAGGTGCCTGGTTCTGAGCTCCTCTCCTGGAATCTTCAGATGACAGGAAGCAGGAGTCTGGGGTTCTAGGCATTTCTCAATTACCTGTGGGCAGACTATTTGTAAGGAGGCACTTAGGAAGGGGTTGTGTCAGGCAGGTTTCATCTGAGCTCATTGGAGCTGCCTTCTCTGAAGGATGCCTGTTATCAGGTCCCCCTCTAGCTTGGTGTGATTTCCAGGGAGCAGATTCTGCTGGATGCTTTTTGGTTTTGGCAGGACCTGCAGGTGGGGCCTCTGAGTCCTGGGAGGGCACACAGACTGGCAGCTGTGTATAGTATGGAGACATGGATTCTCAGGGATCATGGGAATTTTCCTTGTCTTTTTTTTTTTCCTTAAAGATTTTATTTATTTGAGAGAGAGCGAAAGCAAGAGAGATCACAGAGGGAGAGGGAGAAGCAGACTCCCTGCTAAGCAGAGAGCCGGATGCGGGGCTCGATCCCAGGACCCTGAGATCATGTCCTGAGCCGAAGGCAGACGCTTAACTGACTGAGCCACCCAGGTGCCCTGGGAATTTCCTTATTAGTTTGAGTTCCCTTCTGTCTCTGGATCTGGACTTTGCTCCCCCCTTTTTTCCCCCCAGAGATTTTATTTGAGAGTGAGAGTGAGAAATCATGAGAGATCACGAGCTGGGGGGAGGGGTAGAGGGAGAAGCAGACTCCCCACTAATCAGGGAGCCCTATGTGGGACTCAATCCCAGGACCCTGGGATCATGAGCTGAGCCGAAGGCAGATGCTTAACCGACTGAGCCCCCCAGGCGCCCTGGACTTTGCTCCCTTGCTCACTGCTCCCAGCCATGACTGGGCTGGGCTGGCGTCCTGCGTGGTCCCATAGAAGAGCCAGGAACAGGTGAGAGTTCAGAGCCCTGGGCTAGCTCGAGGCTGAGCTGCTGCCTCTGTTTGTCAGGGAACTGTACGGGCTGCTCGGCCACCTTCTCAGTGCTGAAGAAGAGGGTAAGTCCTTGAGGGTGTGTTTGCGGGAACTTGGGATGAGGTACAGGGCAGTAGCGGGGAGTCATTTGGCCATATTGGGCCTGGGGTCTGAGGTTTGCTCAGGTGAGCGGGGATCTGCTGTCCCTGTGCCCACACCTTCACTAGCCTTCCCATTGGATGTTGTGTTTGCTCTGTCCTGCCCCCACTTGGGCACCTCCCTATTCCCATGGTAGTCCCAGGTTCCTTGGGTGAGATCAGCTGATGGGAAGGTGGGGGCCTCCCGCTGTGGGCGATGCATCTGATACTGACCATGGCTCTTTGCAGCGGAGCTGCAGTAACTGTGGAAACAGCTTCTGCTCTCGGTGCTGCTCCTTCAAGGTGCCCAAGTCCTCCATGGGGGCCACAGGTGAGTGGTGCAGGTGGCCCGGGGTCAGGGCGTTGGGAGGGCTTGGCTGGTTCCTGCCTCCTCCAAGGGCTGCTGCAGCGTGGGAAGGGAGCAACGGGTCAGTGAGAAGGCAGGGGGACTCGGGATCCTGTCTGGCCTGGAGAAACATCTCCACTGTCCTTTAACAAACAAAACACTGAAGTATTTTATGCATGCAAAAGAATATATTTAATGTATCTGAATTATAAGGCTTAGTAGTGAATATCTGTGGTTTCTTCACTGAGGTTAAAAAACAGAGCATTAGCACCCCAAGGCTCCCAGCACCACCCTGCCTTCCCCAGAGGAAACCACTGTGCTGAATTTTTTTTTTTTTGTCATTAACTTGGTAACGCGTTTAACAAAATGAAAAATTTCTTTCATTCTATAAAACCTGTACATACTCACTGTAAACAAAACAAAAGATACAGATAAACAAGGGAAGGGCACCGTGTGCAAGATACATACGTATGCACATGCACATTCTACGAGTAGTGGGAGCACGTTCTGCACACTGCCTATAACGTGCTGTAATCAGAAATTGAGGCTTTTTTTTTTTGTTTTCTTTCTGGTCATGCAAGTAGCATATGCTTATTCTAGAAGATTTAGAGATCATTATATAAAGGAGGAAGAAAAAAGTAATCCTGTAATCTTACTACCTAGAGATAACCACTGTTAAAACATGTTGGAAAATTTTCTTCTGGTATTTTATTAAACAGAATTTTTAGTGGTGTTTTGTTGGTTGCAGAGCACCTGGGAGAGGCCTGCTGTTGGTAATGGTCACTCCTGCAGTCCCCAGTCCCCATGGAAAGAGGAATCTGAGGGCAGGCTAGGGAGCTGGGTTAGCGAGGATGTGGGCTGGGTGGTGGGTGGCTTGTGTGGGGCTTTGGGGGTCGGGGAGGTGGTTGTAGTATTGGGGGCCATGAACCAAAGGGCATGAGGAAGTGTCTCACCAAGTTCTTCCTCCTTTTCAGCCCCCGAAGCCCAGAGAGAGACTGTGTTTGTGTGTGCCTCGTGTAACCAGACCTTGAGCAAGTGAGAAGAGGGGCTGGGGTCCAAAGTGGGCGTCGGTCCTTGGGGCCAGCAGCAGGCCTCACTTCCCTGTCCCTAGCCCCTTGTGGTGTGTGCTGGGCAAATGTGGCCTGAACGCTAAGTAGGCTTCCCCTTCCTATCCTTGCTGTCTCCAGCTGGGTTCTGGAGCTGCTCCCCACTCTTGTGGGTGGCTAGTAAGTGGCAGTTCTTAAAACCCAGAGGGGAGAGGAGCCCCTGGAGGGTCTGGCAGGTTTGCCCTCCTCTACCCTGGGCTGAATTAGTGGACTCAGAGCTGGGCAGGGAATATAAACTAGAGAGCAGTAGTGAGCTAGGCCTGGTCTCTGTAGGGATCTCTGAGCATCAGGGTGTCTCTCCACCCCTCACAATTCTAGGAGACCATGGATCAGAGATTGGGAGAAGAGATTCTTCCTTTGCTGGTTCCTAGGCCAGCCCCTTGGCCTCTGAGAGCCTTCAGAAGGGCTTGGGCATGGCATGACCCAACTCTGCTTTTTGAATTTTGCTTCAGCATCAGCATCTCATTGTTTCTCCACCAGAGGTGTGGCCAGAGCTAACAAGACCAGAAGTCCTAGATCAGGGTTAAAGTTTCCATGTTCTCCCAGAGGACGACGTGTTTAGAAGGGCCTGTCAGAGTCCTTTAGTATGAAATGGAGCAAAACATAGGGAGCCCTGGCAGCTCAAAGGACATCAGGCTCACCTTGCAGAAACCTTGACTTGCAGAATCTCAGCCCACATATTACCCTGGTGACAGCTTCCCTGGGTAGATGCCAGGCATTCAGATCACTCTTACTCCTCCTGTTCAGAGCCACAGGCACCCCTCCTCTGGTCCAGAGCTATGATCCCCCTCCCTGGCCCCTTGTCCCATGAAGTGTGAGACAGGCAAGCAGAGCAGAGGTCCTGAAGCCCTTGACCCTTGGGGGCCTGGGAAGTGTAGGATCTCTCCGGGCTGGGTCCTAGATTCTGGTGCTCTTCCTCAGCAGGACAGTCTCACTTAAGGGTTAAGGCCATGGAGGTCCCCATGCTCTCTTCAATAATTTTGTGTTCACTCTGGACTCTTAGGGCACCAGTGTCTCTTCCTAAGCCTTGAGCGGGCTCAGGCACCCTTTCTCTGCCCTGGAGCTACCCTGCCTTTTTGAAGTATGTATGTATGTATTGCACGGTTCCTGGGAACATGTGGCACAAGGAGTGGGATGGAGACAACGGGGGCTTCCCCTCGTCCAGGATGCTTCCCTGGAGTCATGGGCTGGCGGGGACCCAGGACCCATAGGAGGCTGAGCAGGGATCCGAGGAGGCAGGCTGGGGAGACAAGGCCATCCCGGGCCAGCTTTCTGGGGCCAGTTAGGGCTGGGCAGCCAGGGGCCTGCAACAGGCCAGGGAGGTGCAAGGCCCTGGGGAACCAGGCAGGCCTCGGGCTCCTTTGTTAAGAGAGGAGAGTTAAGTACCCTGTGCTTTATTTACACTGGAGAGGAATGAAAAGGATCTCTGTGTATATGGAGAATTGTCAATAAAAAGGCCCTCAAGCTTCTGACGTTTTCGTCCTGGTCCTTGCACTAATCCTCTCTCTGAGGCTGGAGAGCCAGACTCACCAGCGCTGGCTGAGTTTGCAGGCCTGCACTGTGCCTGCAGGACAGGGCTGGAGAGGGGCGTGGAGGCTGCTGTGGGCGGGGGTGGGGGGGGGGGGGGGGTGGAGCGGTCTGCCGGGGCAGGGGGCTGGGGAGGAAAGCTGTGCCTTGTGCAGGTGGGGCTCAGTACATGTTTGTCAGATTGACTCGAGACTCCATCTTGTGGCTGAATTGTGAGCAGGTGGGGTTAGGACCAGGACTTGTCAAACACTAAGCAATGCAGGCTTTAGAACGGAAAGATTTTAGCTAATCCTTCTTAGAAAGCAAAAAAGGATTGGCCCTCGGGAGGCTGAGAGGCAGCCGGAAGAGGATTGGCTGTGAGATGGGACAGATAAGCAGTTCTCTGAAAGCAGGGTTTGTGGGGTGTATACTGGGTGCCGGGCACAGTGGTGAGTGCTTTACACATGTCATTTTATGTAATCCTTATGATGGTCCTATGAGGTAGGCACTGTTCTCCCCATTTTATAGGTAAGGACACTGAGGCCAAAGGAAGTTGACCAGCGGCAGTGAAAGGTTTGGCATGGCACTTTGCAGACCAGAGCTGGCTATGAGCCGTGTCTTCCAGACGGAGGCCCATGGCAGTGAAGACGGCAGGAGAGACCCTGCGTCAGAGCTGAGGTTAGGTTGCAGCCATGTTCTCATGGCTCCATGCATGCGCAGCTCACAGAGGCCGTGGCCTGGTCCAGGATGGGATTCTGCCTAGCTCGGGAACTTCCGCTAGTATGGGGGAGCCCCAGCAGCTCCGAGGGGCCTTGAGAGGCAGGGAAGCAGCCAGGACCTTTTCCTGGCAGTTTTTACAGAAGACTGTGTTCACTTTAAAAAGTAGCAAAGTGGCCTCAGCAGCCTGGGTCCAGAGGAGCAGTAAAGATGGTGGAGGAGGGGAACAGCAGTGATGGCACAGGCCCAGGGCAGAGGCAGCCGGGGCTGCGCCTGTGCTTTTGTGGATGGCGTGTGTCATGGGTAGCTCATTTGGAAGGCTGCTCAGAGATCATCCCGGCTGGTGCCTCACTCCAGGAGGGACACCACATCTGTTTGAAGAGGTGTGTTCCCTACGGCGTGAGAGGATAGGCCTTTCTCAGCAGGAGTGGCCTGTGTTAGCCAGGGAGAGTCTGCGGGCAGTAAGAAGTAGGCAGTGCTGTGGCCAGCCCCACACTTGGCCCACCTCTCCCGTCAGCGCAGCCACGCTGGAGCGAGTTGCCACAGGGGCATTGCCCCCAGGCCTTTCTGTGCTGCTTTCCTCTGTAAAATGGGTGTGATAGCGCTGTCTCCCTTAGAGGGCTGCCGTGAGGAGTAAGCGAGACCATCCACTCGAGGCATGGAGCACGGTGCCTGGAGCACAGGAAGTACTCCCCAAAGGCCAGCCTGTTACTGCCATCCTGGCACTCTTAGGGACAAGACAGCTCTGTCCTGGATGGCTTAGAACAGTGTTTGTTTTTTGTTTGTTGTTTTTTTTAAACCAGAGACTAATCTTAGACTATTACTCAGGAAAGCATCTGAGGCCAAAGTGTAGTTTGAAAAAGCAGAGGCAATATTATTTTGGGAAAACAAAAACGATGCGTAGTGTTGGTGAAGTAGTCTGTACCACTCATAGCCTTTGGAACATGGGATTCTGGGGCTTGGGAAACTCGGGTTTTATCATCAGGTCTTGGCTGGGTCTTCCCACCGAAGGGAAGCCAGGGGGCCACCTCCTTGTCCCTTTACAGTGTGTGTGTGAGGGCCTCAGTGAGAGCAGGCTGGGGAGGCACAACTTGCAAGTGCAGGTCCCGCTGGGAAAATGAAGCCACGGCGGTTGGATTGTGTCTTGCAGCTGGCTGGGGTCCACAGTGTGGAGAGGACTGAATGCGAGGTGGCCTGGAGGACAGACTCTTCATGGTAGAATTGGATGCCTGGTTTAAAAGGTGCCCCCAGTTTGCTCTCAGGCACCCATTGGGAGGAATAGCAGCCAGGTTTTGCTCCAGCTCTGGTACCCATTGGGGCAGACTTGGGACAGGCAGCCAGCTCCCACAGCCTGGCTTGAGTTGAGGGTTCTGTTGATCTTTTTGTGGTTTGGTAGGGATGGGGAGCAATCTCTGGTGAGCCTTGGCAGACTTTGAACTGGTCCTGGTTTCTGGGGTCTTCAGAATTTGTAGTCGTTGATCTCCTGGCCCTCAGGGCTCAAGCCCAGGAAAGCTCCATTTTCATGCCCTGTCTCCATGGAACCTTCGAGGTACCCCTTTTGAGAGGCCCTGGCTCCAGTGTCTATTGTATAGCTGGTGGCTGGCTCTAAGACCATGATAACAACTACTTTTGTTTTATTTTATTTTATATCTTGGATGTTATTTTATTGCTTTTTTAAAAAAAATTTTATTTGTCAGAGAGAAAGAGCATGAGCAGGGAGAGCTGCAGGCAGAGGGAGAAGCAGGCCTCATGCTCAGCAAGAAGCCCAGTGTGGGACTCGAACCCAGGACCCCAGGATCATGACCTGAGCCGAAGGCAGATGCTTAATTGACTGAACTACTGAGCCACCCAGGCGTCCCAACACCTACATTTATTGAGCACTGTGCCAGGCAACATGCTGAGCGTGTCATTCTTATTTAAACCTCATGACAATCCCAAAAGCTAGGTTCTGTTATTAACTCCATTTAACTGATGAGTAAAGTGAAGGCCTGGAGAGGTTATTGGAACCCGCCCGAGGTCATGTAGCTAGTAAGCCATGGAGCCAGTGTGAATTGTGCCAGGGGTGCTTGTAGAGGTCTTATCAGGGAAACTTTGGGTGAACATACAATCCTGGCTGTCGCCTTCCCCTCTGTTCTGCCTTGCCCCCACTAGCTCCAGGATCTTCTGAGCCACTGAGCTAATAGGAGGGGCCTGCCCATCCCGAGCCCTAGCAAAGTGGGCTCAGCCTCCAGAGGAACAGAGGCAGCCTTGTGGCAGGAGCTCCCCACCCCCAGCACCACCTCCCTTGTTTGGGTCTGTTTCAACACCCCAGAGCAGCACATTCCATTCTCTGGCACAGCTGGGGGTTGGGGATTCCGGATTCCCCCGGCTGCCTGCTTTCTTCAGGGCCCCAGCAGAGCCTGCTGTCTGGGCTGGAGTACTGGGTCCCAGCCACATACATTCCAGCAGCAACCACCCCCCACGTTGGATTTCCCAAGGAGTGAACTTTAGCCAGGATTACAGCCAACTAAACAGTTGTGGGTTGTGAGCTTCCTTTGTGGGGCTCAAGAGCCTGGATGCTGATGGGGCTTAGAGGGGAGGAGGGGGTCAGGGGTGGGCTGCTTTGGGGCAGGAGAAAAGCTGCATTCTGAGGCTCGCTCCCCTGCTGCTGACAGGGCCCTTGGTGTGGGCTCTGAGCAGGGCTCCCGGAAATCTTCCTGCGAGGCAGGGTGGCAGATAGTCTGTTCCCCCCCACCCCCCGCCCTGCCTCCGCTTGGCTTTGTCCCCTGCAGGCAGTGGTATAGTGGTTAAGAACCCGAGGTCAAATTCTAGTACCACTCTTTCGTACAAGCTGTGTGTCCTTCAGTAAGCTCATTAACCTCTCTGAACCTCAGCCTCCTCATCGTTAAAAAGGGCTGTTGGCAGGCTTAAATTAGAATTCCAGAGTGAGGGGCGCCTGGGTAGCTCAGTTGGTTGAGTATCCAGCTCAGGTCATGATCTCAGGGTCGTGAGATTGAGCCCCACATCGGGCTCTAGACTCACTCAGCACAGGGTCTGCTTGAGGATTCTCTCTCCCTCTCCCCCTCCCCTCTCATATGGGTGTGCTTGCTCACTCTCTACCCCCCACCCCGTAAAATAAATAAATAAAATCTTTAAAAAGAAAAAAATAAGAATACCAGCCAGAGTGCTTGGAGTAGTGCCTGCCACCCAGCATGGGCTTGATATTTATTCTAGTATTATATGTCTTCTCCTCTCTGTTGGCTTACATACCCTCCGGGGGTGTATTTTCTGAAGTAAAATGCCAAATGTAGGTTCTGTCTTGAAAGTAACAACTCTGGGTTTTAGGTGAGATGTTCCTGTCTTCCCTACCTTCCTGCCAGTAGCGTTTCTTAGTTAACAAATCAGTTAGGAATGTACTGTTATGTGCAAGGCACCGTGCTATTTGGGTCAAGGCCTTAGGTTAGGAAAAATACTAATTACCATTTAATGAGTATCTTCTAAATGCTGGGCGCTGGTTCCAGGAACTTTTCATATGTTTCCCCACTGAACACTCAGCCACCCTGTGAAGTAGACATTATTATTCCATTTTATAGTTGGGCAGTGTTCCCAGTGTCACATGGTCACTAAGTCACAGTATTGGAACTCAAAACTGGGCTCTACTACCTCTTTTCACCTGATCCTGCGTATTTTTTTTTTAAGATTTCTTTCTTTTTAGAGTGGGGGGAGGGGCAGAGACAAGGAGAGAAGCAAACTCCCAGCTGAGTGTGGAGCCCTATGCGGGGCTCAATCTCATGAGATCATGACCTGAGCCGAAATGAAGAGTCAGATGCTTAACTGACTAAGCCACCCAGGCACCCCCTGATCTTGAGTATTTAGCCACCCACCCAGATTTTTCCTGTTCTTTATCAGAACTCTGATTTTGTACCCAACTGAAACACCTGACTTCCTCTGCTCCCTTGCAAATAGGGGTGGCCATGTGACTTCGTTCTGGCGGGTGAGCTAAAAGTGGAAATCTACCAGGTGGGACTTTGTTGGGAAAATACTGTTTTCCTGATCAAAAGGGCCAGAGGCAGCTGACATGCTCTTTTTGCTCTCCTTCCCTGCCTTGCTGCCTGGACTGTGGTTAGAAGTGGGGAGGAGGGGGCACTGTTTGTAACCACAAGAACAGAAGCCACCCCCTGGCAAAGCTGGAAGAAAGAATGAGTCTGGGACTTGGACCTCGTGCCTAGCTGTCTCCAGACCTCTGGTATGGAGAAGCCCCACTGTTTCTTGGGGTTTCTGTCAGATGCAGTTGTTTGCTGACACAGCCCAGTTGCTCGCTGGGCAGCACCAGCTGTCTGTCTCCGGACTGGCTGGGAGGGAGGGAGCGTGTTGTGACTGAAGGAAATGAAGGGCGGGCTCAGGCCTTGTGGGGGCTCCCCTGGTTTTGGGGAGGATTCTTCTTGGTCCCAGGAAGAGACTGCTGGGGGGGGAATCTGACAGCAGATGTTGGGGACGGAGCCGACATACAGAGCTTGACACCTGTGTTGGGGGTGGCTGAGGACTGTCTTGCTGGGGCTTCCCGGGATGGGCGAGGGGAGTCTCTCCCCCGTCTGCTCCATCTCCCTGGCTGCCAGCACCTGACAGAGGTCAGTATTGTGCTTCTGCCAGAAGTAGCTGGAGTCCTGTGTGTTCAGTGGAAAAATAATCCCTGGTCCTGGTTGACCATAGAAGTGTCCATAAATATTTGGTTGGGGTAGGAGGCTGGGAGACAAGGGGCAGATTCAGGGAGCTGGTAGGCTGGGCAGACTTTGGGTGAGGGTGGGTGGCAGTGGCCTCCTCAGAGTTGAGGAGAAACAAGCAGGCCTCTGCTGCTCCTGACCTGTGGTGAGGCCACCTGCCTGCCCAGGGAGGTGATTTATGGGCAGGCTGTCAGACCACCTGTTAGCTCACACTGGCCCCACAGCAGAATTTGGGCCCTTTGGCCTTTCTCGATTCTCTGTGGCAACATGCTTCTCTGAGAGCCTTGGAAGCCAAGTCCTCACAAGAGAACGTGGCTTCATTGTCTTAGAGGAGCAGGAAGCCTTGACTGGACTTGGCAGCTGGACCCTCGCTGGTGAGGAAAGCTGCTCTGGGGGTGTCCCCAGCCCTCTGACAAACCCCCGGGTCTCTTTCCTGGCACCACCCCTTCCAAATGCTGGACATTTGAGTGGCAGGAGCCTGTTGCCTCCATTTCAGGCCTTCTCCCCTCCCTGCCCCATTCAGCTCCAGGTAGCAGCACCATCTGCTCTGAGCTCACTGAAGAAGCCCTCAGTTACGATAGCTGCTTCCTTCCCAGTATGCAGGACCGAGACCCTTCCAGCCTGAGGTCACCTCAGCCCCTCACCCTTCTCTTGCCTTAGCTGTTGGCTTATCTAGATTGAGGTTTTCTTTCTTTTTTTTTTTTTTTAAAGATTTTATTTATTTATTTGGGAGAAAGTGAGAGCACAAACCAGGGTGTGTGTGTTGAGGTGGGGGGAGGCAGAGGGAGAGAGGGAAGCAGACTCCCTGCCAAACCAAGCAGAGAGCCAGATGTGGGGCTCGATCCCAGGACCCTGGGATCAGGACCCGAGCAGAAGGCAGCTAGCTGCTTAACCAACTGAGCCACCCAGGCGCCCCTAGATCGAGGTTTTCAACCCAGGCTGCATACCACCCCAGGGAGCATCTAGAGATTCAGATTTCTGTGCCCCCTCCAGAGATTCCGATTTAATTGGTGTAGAGTGGGGCCCCCTATTTTGCAAAAGCTCTCTAGATGATTTGAAGTTTTATGTGTTAAAATGCAGTTTCTGATACAGTAGGCCTAGTATGTGTTTCTGACCGGCTCCTGGGGGTGCTCCTTCTCTGGTCCCTGTGGCACAGGTCGACCCCATTCTCCCCTGCAGGTCGGGACCAGTGCCCAGGGCGGTCTGAGTGCCGAAGGGGTAGGAGTTGATACATTTAGGCTCTTGGCTCTTCAGAGTAGTTCCCTGTGGCCCAGGCTTCTTGGCATCTGAGGAGCACGCAGCGTCAGGGACATGCTGCAGGACTGTGGGAGCCTTCTGACCGTGGGAGAAGGCTGGGGATCTTGGCGTCTCTCTCCCTCTTCAGGAACAAAGGGACGGTCATCTCCATTCCTCACTGGGTGATGGGGATGAGAAGGGTGATCCTCACCCTGTGCTCTCAGGGGATCCTACAAGAACATGGGCATTGCAAGTATGTCTGTGTGGACAGGCCGTGGGTTAGGACAAGGGCCTCTTTCCAGAAGTCCCTTCTGAACCTCCCTCTGCCCACCTTTGGGGACCAGCTGACAAAGAACCTAGTCAAAACCAACTGTTGTTTTTTTTGATTTAATTAAAAACTTACAAAACAAAACACTAGAAACCAAACCTCGCCTGCGTCAGATCTAGTACCTGTGGCCTTGCAGCAGTGGCGATAACTTACCATCAGGGTAACAGGGACATGTGGAGGCTGAGGGATGAACCCCAAAAAGCAGCCTCTGGGAGGGGGTCTGGGCTGGGCTTCTCTCCAGTCTAGCAGGAAGGGAAAGGGTAAGAGATGGGGAAGGTGGGGAACTGTGGCTGGAGGGCACTGTGACCCTAGTGCCTCTCCTTTGGGGGACTGTGACGACACGAGTGGGCAGTGGGAGTAGGGAACTGTCCCCCAAATAGCTCAGCCTAATACTGAGACTCTTCCTCTTCAAGGTGAGGCCTCGCCACCAACAGAGGGGAGCTGACACCATGATCTACTTGGGAATCTGCCTCAGGCTGCTCAGAGCCCCTCCATGCTTCCCTCGCTCTCTCCTCCACCTACTTTCCAAAACCCTGGGTTCCTTCCCACATGAGAAAGCCTTGCTCCGAAGAGAAGTCCCCAGGGACCCTAGAACCCCTCAGTCATGGACAGCTCAGGCTCCATGCCCGTTCCTTAGGGCCTGTGCTGGTAACGACACTGCATGAAACCACTTAGGGGCTGGGTCAGCCTGGGAGTAGGGGTGAGGCCAAGTGGGCAGGAAGAGAGTGCCCCAGGGCTGGGGAGAGGGCAAGGCACAGCTGGCTGTGGTGGGGCAGGGAGGAGTGCCCTTCAGTGGGGTTCAGCAGCCCCATAGAAGAAGGGGTAGTAGAGGGAGCAGGGGTAGGAGAACATGAATTTGACCGCGAACTTCATCTCCTTATTCTTCCTGTCCCAGCGGTAGACGGCCATAAGCAGCAGCTGCCCGTCCACTTGGCGGCCCATGAGCAGGAAGCTGCCGGTCAGGCTGTCCAGCTGTGGGCAGGGGCAGCTGGCGCCGCTCTTCATGTGCAGCACCAGCCTCTTGGTGTCCTTGCGCTTCAAGGGGCCTGGCTTGAGTAGCTGCTTCTTTTTCTGGGCTCCAATCAGCTTCCGGTCCCCATTCTCTATCTTGATCTCCTTGATGCGCATTTTAACCACTGTGTGTGTGTGCCGAGGGGGGAGACAGAGGGACAGGGTGAGAACGGGCAGGTCTGCTCAGGATGCTCTTGGGCCCTCAGTTGGTGCCTGTGCCTCAAGTTCCAAGCCTGGGCCTTGGGGTGGTAGACTTCATGATCCCTAGGATCATGGAATCCAGATGGGTGTGTGTGTGTGTGACAGCTGGCCCTGGGGAGGGGTTCTGCTCTGTGGCACGTGTGTGTGTGTGTGTGTGTGTGTGTAGCAGTGATAGGGTGGGCTGGTAAATGACAGCTGGCCCTGGGGAGGGGTTCTGCTCTGTGGCACGTGCTGGTTTCCATGGGGTAAATGCCCACCACCCCCATGGCTGTGTGTGTGTGTGTAGCAGTGATAGGGTGGGCTGGTAAATGACAGCTGGCCCAGGGGAGGGGTTCTGCTCTGTGGCACGTGCTGGTTTCCATGGGGTAAATGCCCACCACCCCCATGGCCCACCGCATCATGGAGCGCTGGGTTGAGCAGCATGCACACAACCAGCTCTTGCTGGTGTGAACACACCACTGTAATCTGTGTCAGACTGTACAGTATGGGTGGGAGTGTGCTGTTTGGTGCTGTGTGGTTGATGTATGAGAGTATGTCTGTGGTGTGTCTGGAGGGTGGGGTTGGGGGAGGTGCTTGAAGGCCAGAGTGGGGTCGGGGTGACCATCCAGGGCACACAAGGTGGCTGTAGAGAGCCTAGTACAGTTGGGGATTGGGAGTCTGGAACTTGGGGGGGGTCACTTAGGCTAGTCTCCCCCTTCTTCAGGCCTCTGGATCCGCATCTCTGTGAGCAGCCAGGGAGATGCCAGAGAATGACTCTGTTCACCCAGGGAAGGAAATGGTTATAAAATCTCTTTCTTTCAATCTCTCTCTTTCTCCCCTTACCCACTCTCTTTTTGTCTCTTGGACACACACACACACACACACACACACACGCCTTGCAATAGGAGTATTCTCTTTCCAAACAGGCTAATGACATAAAAGACTAAAGTAAGGATTTCATTGCGATCTCTTTTTTACAAACAGGGAGGCTAAGACAAAACAGCAGCCAGCTTGGCAAAGGCCACATGCCGGCTCGTGTGGTCCTGACTAGACTTGGCTCACTGTCCCAGGAATGGAGAGGCTCCAGGATGAAGGCGTGGGACAAGTGACTGCAGCTCCCCTGGCCAGAGGTGCATCGGGTACCACGCAGAGGTGCCCAGGGACGAGGGTGCTGCACTTCCATCCTGGGTCCCAGCTCTTTCCCTTCCATCTCCAGGCTTAGCTTGCTTCTCCCAAAGAGAATCCAGCCCTGGAGGGCCCTCTGTGGGCAGGTGCCAAGGGAGGGCTGCAGGAGCCTTGGCCAGGGGTTGGTTTTGGGGCCCATGGACCATGGCCTTGGGCTTCTGAAGCCCCTGGGATGACCTGCAAAATGAGGTGCATTTCTTTGGCCAGACGGTTCATGGTCATGATCAGATTCTAAAAGGGACCCATGATGCAAAAACTGTTAGCATTCACTATGATGGTTGTGGACATGGGTGTTTGTTGTGTGTGTGTATGTGTGTGTCAAGAAGGAGAGGAATTGGGGCAGTGGCCACGTGGGCTCCACACTCACCGAAGTCGCTGGAACACATCTGCTCCATGAGGCCGTCGGCACTGTGCTCCATCTCACACTGGGCACAGATCTTGGTCACTGAAGAGAGAAGTAGGGGTGGGGTCTGATGAGGGGAGGCTGATGAGGGGATCGGAGTCCGAAAAGCCACTCAAGAGTACGGGCTTACCCCACTGAGGAGCCACCTCCCCTGCCAAGCCTCCACTCTCATCAGGAAATGGGATGATGGTAACGGTGCTCACTGAGTAGTTGTGAGGTTCCAAAAGAGACAACATTGCACGGGGACAAAACTGCCCCCATGGGCACAATTGCTCCATGACCCTGGCAACTGCCACCATGATGTGCGTTGTCTTCTTCTAAACTTTGTTTCATTTAATCCTCAGCCTATGAAGTAGGTATTATTAAAGAAAAGAAAACTGAGGCCGAGTGGTACCCAAGTCTGCAGTACTATTGTGAACTGACCTTAGAACTCAGGATTTGTGACTCCCAGGCTAGTGCCGGGATGGGGGTATCTGCAGGGTCTTCCTAGGCACACAGGGTCCCGGCGGGTGGCAGGGTAGGGACTGTGGTAAACTGAAGAGCATCACCGTCTAAGGTGGGCAGCTTCACATTGCCAGAACTTTTGGTTTTTCAAGGGAAGCCCAGACTCAATTTTTATATGAAATATTCTCAGTTTTATTGTTAGCCACACAAACACTTCAGGCTGCCTCTGGTTCTCAGGCCACCACACAGCACCTGCCCTCTGTCCTGTATCTCTGCCTCCGGGTGGGCGCCCCCATCACAGGGGAAAGCGGGCTTCAGAGAGGGCAGGGCCTGGTGGGATTCCGAGCCGGAGCCCAGGACTTCTTGCCTTCCGGGCTGTTAATACGTGGCTTCCAAGAAAACCAGAAAAGGAACCATGCTGGGATTCCGCTAGGGACTGCACTGTCTCTGCTTGAGCTGGCTCTCTCCCCTGCTTCCTGGTCCCATTTCCAACCCAAGAACAGGGGTGTCTCAACACTCCCCAGTCACAGGACCCCAACCCAACTGACTCTCAGGAGGGACATGGGGGTGTAGGACCAAGGGCTGTGTGGATGAAGTTAGACCTGGGGGAGGGGTGGATAGGGTGTGGTGGAGTCCAGTTGCTTTTTGGGGGTCGGGTCAGTTGGGAAAATGGGAAAGCAGTGCTGCCCCTCGGGGGAGTCCCAGCATCAGGGTCTCCTTAGACACTTGAATCAACTGCCCAGACAAAACTTTTCTCAGTGCCACTTTTTATTCTCCTGTCTGGTGCCCAGCTCAGGCTTACTCTGTTTGCAAGGAGTTTGGCATTTGGGGGTGGGGGGTGCACAGTGAAGGGAGGCTGAGACCGAGGAGGAATTAGGGGTAATGGGTCTCGGGGTGGGTGGGAGGTGGCACTGAGGATCTCACAGGTTTCTGGAACCTGAGCTCACTTCCTATGTTACTTATGGAAAAACTGAGGCTCAAAGTTAAGCAACTCCTAAGGGCTCCTTTTCAGTGGCAGAGCCTGGCAATCTGCTCTTCTGCACTGAGCTTTACCCGAAGGTCTCCCAATCTGGGGGGATTGGGGAAGCGAGTGGGAGAATTTAGGGTTCCCGGGTACAGAAAAGGGTGTGTGTGTGTGTGTGTGTATAGGTAGGCTGGAAGGCTGGGGTCGGGGGCGGGAGTTGCAATTCCCGCGGCATGCAGGGCTGAGCAAAGGCTGTGTGTGTGGTGTGTGTGTAAGGGGGTGGCACCTCCGGGGGGCTCGCGGGCACCCGGGGCGTCGGAGCGCGCGGGGGCGGCGGCGGCGCTACCTGGAGGCGCGGTGGCAGGCAGGTGTCCGAACTGCATAGTGATGCAGAGGTCGTTGTCCAGGGGGAACTTGTGGCAGTGCAGCATCTCGGGCCAGGGGAAGCCGTAGGCCTCCATGAGCGGCGCGCAGCCGGCGCGCACGGCCTCGCACAGCGAGCGGCACGGGTAGATGGGCCGGTCGAGGCAGACGGGCGCGAAGAGAGAGCAGAGGAAGACCTGCGTGTCGGAGTGGCAGCGCTTGGCCAGCAGCGGCAGCCAGCTGCTCGCTTGCTGCTTCACCTCGGCCAGGCTCTCGTGCTCCAGCAGGTTGGGCAGCCGCATGCGCTTGTAGCCCACCGTGTGGCAGAGCGGCAGGTCCGCGGGGATGTCGAGGCACTGCGGCGGCTTGGAGTACGCGCGCCCGTGCAGCGGCTCCGCCTGCCACCCGTAGTAGTCGTATTCCTGGGCGCGCGCCGGCGCCCCTTGCAGCGCCCCCAGCAGCAGCGCCAGCGCGGCCGCCCGCGCGCCCCCCGCCGTCGCCTGCATGGTGCGCGGCGTCCCCAGCTGCCCCGGAGTGCGCCCGCCGCCCTGCCGCTCCCCTGCAGCCGCCGCCACCGCCGAGGTGGCCCGAGTGGTGGCAGCCTTCGCTCCGCTTGCGGGCGCACCGAGTGATCCTGGCACCTCCCACCTCGGGGCTCCGGCCCTGGCCTCGTCTTGCGCCCCAGCCAATCTCCAGCCGCCCGCCCCCCCCCCCCCCGGCCGCGGGCCCAGGCCGGGAAGCGAGGTGGAGTCCCCCTCGGCCCCTCCCGCCGGCTCCCGCGCGTCCCGCCCCGGCTCGTGCGCCCCTTTCCCGCGCACCGGCTCCCCTGCCTCAGCGCCGGGCTCGCTTTGCGCCTCTCCTGGGGGCTCCCTCACCTCCCTGGGCATTTCCTCGCCGATCGCGTTCTCCATCCTTCCTCCTTATCTCCCTCCGCCACAGCCTCTCCTGTTCCTTTTCTCACTCACTTCACTTGCTTATCTGCCCGTCTCGGCCTTTCCCCCTCCGCTCTGCTTTCTCTTTCCTGACACCTCGGTTCTCCCTTCTCCTGGCAGGAGGCTCCTGGCTGCCCACCCCCTCTGTTCCAGGAGGGCAGTTCTTCCCCTGTCCGTCCTCAAACATGTGTTTGAGCTCCTGCCTGGTGCCGGGCACTGTGCTGCTGGCTGCTGGGGGAATCAGAGATGGATCTGACCCGGGACCCCCCCACCTCCAGGGACACCGTAGCCTAGTGGGGGCGAAGGTAATCATAACTGCCATTCAGTGAGCTCTAAGTGCCGTAGACACTGCGCAGCACTTCACGGCCTTATCACCAGCTATTTCTATTGATAGCTAATACTTCTTGGGTACTTACTGTGTCTGTTCTAAGCACATTGCTTAAGTTACCCCATTTAATTCTCACAGTAATGGTATAATAAGGCAAGTGGGTACTGTTATTATCTTCACTTTACAGATAAAGGTAGCCAGGCAAAGAGAAGTTAAGTGAGGATAGGGGCCAGGACTTGACCCTTGGTGGTCTGGTTCCAGAGTCAGAACCCGGGTGACACCAGGAGGTCTGGATTCTGAGTCTGCAGGCTGGCTGGCTTTGGGGGCCTTCAGGTGAAGTAACTGGCCCTCAGTCACACACTAATGGGTGAGGGAGCCAGGATTTGAATCCAGGTCTGGGCTCCAAAGGCCAGGGCTTAACTACTTTGCCCTAAGATAAATTCCAGCCTAGGCCAGGACAGGCTTCAGGAGGAGGAAGGAATTGAGGATATCCAGGTTTGGGATGGGACCTCATGTTTGGGGTCTTTTCCTTCTGTCTGGGTCCTGCCTTCTATTGGCTTTCCTGTGGGAGGAGCTTTGGAGAAATGCTTGAGGGTGGGAGAACTTCTTGAGAGCCTGACCTGAGACCTGACCTCCCCAGTCTTTGGTGGGGAGGTCCGCTGAGAAGGTGTCTTGCAGGAGGGCTTGGGGCACTCTGGGGGCTGGATCTGCACTTGACCCCCTCCACTTCTGCTCTTACCTCTCCTACCCCCTATCCTCCTGAAAATTTCCAAGGCTCCTGTCTTCCCATGATCTGTCCTTGCAGTAGTAGTGGAGAGAGGGGAGGGGCCGCTCTTCTTAATATTCAGCAGACACACACGAAGCACCTACTGTGTACAAGGTGTGGGGTGTGGTGTACATACCACAGGTAGGGATCCAGAAATGCAGAAGACGTAGTCCCTGCTTCATCTGATCTAGTGTGAGAAAAAGACAAAAGGCAGGGCAGAGGGCACAGAAGGACATTCAGCAGACAGAGCCCAGGGTGGGTTCAGGCGAAAGAGCACAAAGAGGTTCTGTGGATGACCCGCCAGAAGGTAAAGGACCCCTCCCTGTCGGCCTAGGCAGCGGAGTGTAGTAATGGTGCAAGAGCCTAGACTTTGCAGGCAAAAAGAGCCAGGTTAAAGGCCAAGTGCATACTCACTGAGTGACCTTGGGCAAGTACTTAGCCATTCCAGCCATCCATTGTCTTGTTTGTGAGGTAGAACATTCTCAACAGTTACTGTGAGGGGCAAACCAAATGGTTCATGGAAAGAAAGCCCCCTGCACAGTGCCAGCACATAATAGGCACCTAGGAATGGAAGATCTCTAAGGGATGTATGCCATCAGGGTGAAAATGTGATGTGTGTTCTGCAGGCTCCTTTGGATACCTTGGCCCTGGCTCTGGTTTGGGACCCTGAGCAGTAATTCTGTTCCCTGTGCTCCAGCTGATCCTTATCCCCGCTTCAGGCTTGGCAGGGCTTCTGCACCCCCGGGGGGACATGTGGTCTTGGGCACTGGCAGGGGTGTTGGCGCTCCCCCGGTGATGTGCAAGGTGCTGGCTCCCTAGGCAGCTGGTCACCCTCTGCTGGTCTTGGCTGCCCAGTGCCTGGCCCAGACAGCAGGAGGCATTGTTCCTGCTGCTGGTTCTGTAAGAACCACACACGGGAAGAGCCAGGTGAGTCATACCTGGCAGCTCCAGGGGCTGCTAAGGGCAGAGACGCCAGGCTGGGAGCCACCTGGAAGATGATAGGCCGTCTATACCTGACAACTCTGCCTTGGGCACCCCCCAAGGCTCCCTGACATGGTGAGATTAAGGAAGGAAGGCCTTCCCAGGAATGCAGCCCAGGTGGGGGCTGTGCCATGGGGCAGTCATTCAGGAAGATCTGCTGCTGCGGCCAAGTCAGTGGGTAACCTTGGCTCTGTGGCCCGAGCAAGCAGGGAGGAGGCTGCACTGGTGTGCTGCCTCTTCCCGATGAGGCTGTTCCAGGACCTAGGCTGCTGTGTGGAACACCTGGCAAGCTGGGCATCTGTCCATCCTGGAGCTTCTGTGGTCTGTCCAGGTGCACATTGCCCCCAGCTCATGGAAAGGACCGTTTGTTTAAATAAATAAATAAATAAATAAATAAATAAATAAATATTTGTGGTTTGTTGTGAGCAAAATTCTACATAGATACCTCTTAGATCAACCTTGGTAATTAATATGTTATCAAATCCTACATTTTTCTGCCTTTTTATTGCCTGCTTTAGTGACGCTCTAAGTGTGGTCAGGGTTCTCCTGAGGGTCCCCAAATCCTTTTCAGGGAGTCTACAAGGTCAAAATTGTGTGCAATTCAAAGATTCACTCTAAGTACAAGATAGATCAATGGATCTTAAAGTAACAGGGTAAGAAAAGTTTATGGTTACGGATTCAGGTTCTACATTACAACCAACATTTAAGGAACGGCCACATGGCAATATTTTAGTAGTATCAAGAATATCTACAGTGTCTGAAAAGGCTGTTAAAATATTCTCTTTTGCAGCTACATTTCTGTGTGAGGCCAAATTTTCTTCATATACTGCGACCAAAACAACGTGTAACAACAGATTGAGTGCAGAAGGAGGTATGAAAATCTGAGTCTATTAAGCCAGATGTGAAAGAGATTTGCAAAAATTAAGACAATGCCACTCTTTTTTTGTTTTGTGAAATATAATTATTTTTCACAGATTTTGTTATTTATCTTCACATATAATGGGTTTTTTTTGTTACTTTAAGTGAATTAATAAATAAAATTTCTCTCAGTTTTAGTTTTAAACATGGTAAATATTGGTAGGTGTAAAAGCACATAAATGGGAGGTCTTTAATCTAAAAACCTCGATCCTTTTTAAGAGTGTAAGGGGTTCCTGAGACCAGAAAGTTTAAGAACTGCTGGTTTACTTATTCTGTTCATTTCTTCTCCTTTTTTAAAAAAGTAATCCATATACCCAACATGGGGCCAGTACTCACAACCTCGAGATCAAGAGTCACATGCTCTACCGACTGAGCCAGTAGGTGCCCCTATTCTATTCATTTCTGATAGAGGTGTATAAAATCTACTTTGATTGTGGGTTTAGTATTTTTTCCTTTTTTTTTTTTTTTGAATCAGTTTTGCTTTATACACTCTGAAGCTATGTTGTTATGAGCATAAAGTTTCATGACCATTATATGTTCTGGTTGGATTATAATTTCTGTCTGTATGAAATAGCCTTCTTCATTCCTTTTGGTGCTTTAGCCTTGGGAATAATCATTCCATGAACGAACATTTAACTAGAGCCTGCTGTGGGCCCGGCATACACATGAAACAGTGTCAGTTCCTGTGCGTGGGGAGAAGAGGGACACACAAAGGCAATGTAGTGTGGCAGGAAGAGTCTGGGCTCTGAGTCAGACTGACTGGTGGTGAATTCTGGCCACTTGCTAGCTGTGTGTCCTTGGACATCTGTCTGTCTGTTGAGCTTTGAACCTTAATTTCTTCATGTGTAGAATGAGGTGAAGGACATTTATTTACTGGGTGTTAGTGAAGACTTACTGAGGCAAGGGAAGAGAGGAGCACCCGGCAGAGTGCCTGGCATATGGGAGCTCTGTGATTAGTACTATAATGGAGCCATGAATGGGAGATCTGCCCCATTCATGCCTCCTCTCAAGGCCCCCCCCCAACATCCGTGCTCCCCCCATGCCCGCCCCCCGGGAGAGGCAGTGCATGGCAGGAACCAAGTGTACCAAGCTTGGACTCAGAAGATCTCAGTTGTGTGTTTTCAACTTAATAGCAAGTCCCCCCGCACCCTGAGTGTCAGTTTCCTCATCTGTGAGGTGGGGAGGACCACCTCTGCCTCACGTCCTCCATGGGGCCGTCTTGAGGAGCAAATGAAGTGAAGAAGGAGGTTGAGATGATGATGGAGGTGAGGCTGACTTTGTTCTGTCCCAGCCTGTGAGCAAGGTCTGCAAGCACAGGCTTGCCTGCCTCCCAGGAGGGCTAGGATGCCCAAGGTGATGAGACAGAATCTTGTCCTTATTTCAGAGTCTTCGGGAATTATTTGCCTTTTACGATCTCAGTGTTCCCCGCTGAGACACCAGCCTTCATAGCAGTGGTGCCTGCGTGCTCGGCAAAAAGCCCAGCCTGAGTGGCCTGTGTAATTAGGAGAACTCTTAGAGCTAGCAGGGCCCTGTTGCTATTGTCCACCAGCATCCCCCATCCCCGACCACTGTCTGTGAGAGGAAACTAATCCTGACTCTCAGTCCAGTCCTCTTACTGCCACTCCTACAGCACTGTTTCGCTTTCCATCATTTCGCTTTGTTGACTGTAAAGTCAGCGTCTGTCCCGGAGGTCCCCA